TTAGTATTTGCAAATAAAATCACTGACAATAGAGTTTCTGAAATGTTGACTTTAAATTGAAATTGTTGATATCCTTGTTTCATTAACTTGTTTGTCAATAGCTAGATATCGATATATAGCTCGATGGTCTAATTAACTGGGACGGACGAAAAAAGGACTAATGAGTTCCCTTGAAATGCATGTTTAAATTAAACAAACATAAAATATATGTCTCCACTTTTGACTCTTGTTTTATTTTCATTACTTTTCTTTTTTTCTATTATAAAATAAAGTGATATAAAGAAGAAAAATAAATGCCCAGTTTTAATTGTCAAGTAAATGGCTGCTTTTTATTTATTGAGACTTTTATTAAAAGAAGTCCATTTTTTAGGATATAGTTTAATATAAATTATCAACATGTAAAATTTTGATCGTTTATACATATTCCAAAAGCACCATTCAGAATAAAAATACCTCACCGAAGTCGAAATAAAATAGATATTTCATTCCAAAAAGGCGTTTCATTAGATATAGATATTAAAGGGCAAATTAAAGCTAAACTCAATTTAAAAATGTACTTATTTTATTGCGTAAAATGACTTCAAATTTTCTGTTTTAACGAGCAAGGTGTATAAAATGTCCCTGTCCTTATACCAGCTAATTGCTTAATCCCTTTGTTCCTTTTTTAATACGAATATAAAGTAGAGACTTAGACGATAGTGCTTTCATTTTCTATTAAAATTTTCCTTGGGATTTCAAGTATTAGAAAACAGGCTTTATGAAAGAGCAATGTAATTGAATTTTGAAGAAGACAGTGATATCTTATTATTTTAAGCAAAGGATTAACATGTGAAGGAAGCCCTCAATTTAAAACAGGTGATTAAAATCTTCAAATACAGTTCAATCATTATATAATTGCAGTAAATGCATCAGAGGTTATATTGTATAACAGACAATATTCAAGCTAAAAAGTATATATTAAATATAACAAATAGGAGCAGAGTAAACAGACATCTAAAACATCAGAAGTGAGGTGAGGTTCCATGGAGAAGTGAGCATCCCCTGCCCATCGATTACACAAGCCGTGTGCTCCCTGTCATGCTCAGAAAATAACGGAAAAAAAATGGCTTCACAACTAATATGAAAAACGTAAGTCAGCATTAGATTGCATTTGCTGACAAGGTAATTGTATCGACCATAAAATGTACGGAATGATGCATTTAAATGAGACATATGATATTCTTAATTTATCACTTATTTATTCCTCACAAATATTGACTTATTTGTCAATAACTTACCTTTTGAAATTGTTCATACGTAGGAGGATATGGAGATAACGAACAGTATTCAATCTCAACGTCCATTAAACAATATACAAAATAAGAGCAGAGCAAACACGGACCTCTGAAACATCAGAGGTTGGATCAGGTGCCATGGAGGAGTGAGCATCCCCTGCCGACCGGTCACACCCGCCGTGTGCTCGTTGTCATGATCAGGAAATAACGGAAAAAATCCGACGTCAATTCAGTGTATAAATAATGGACTAACAATTGGTATGAAAAACGTCAGTCAGCATATGACTCAATGATAAATTGTATTTGCTGACAAGGTCATTGTATCGACCATAGAATTTACGAAATGATGACTTTAAACGAGACTGTTGATATTCTTGTTTCATCAACTTGCTTGTCAATAATTTACTTCGTTTAAAAAATTGTTCATACGTAGAGCACGCTCTTGCGTATCGAATCAACTGAGATATATATACTCCGTATGCAGTTGATGAAGGTATATTGCTGCATAAGTAAGGGAAGTTGACGATAGAAAACTTATTATCCTGCAACTACCCCTTGCATTGACCTAATAAAGGTAACCTAATAAACCAAAGCTTTATCCGGTCACTGCCCTAATAAAGCCTCGTGCATGTATTCCGACGTTCCAAAAGCATTGTGACGTCACGTATACTGCAATGTTTACGCCATGGCGTCATAGTTTCAACTGCAGAGATGTGCCTAAATCTGTCGGAATTAGCTTGATTTGGACGCTCAAATGTAAGATTTTGTTGCAGGATAAACAAAATACATGATAACTGTCTTGAAATATAAGCGATATTTGGGCTCAGATCGAAAACGGTAAGCCTAGCCCTCTTTCACGTTTTCTTACCCTCGCCCAAATATCGCTTATATTTCAAGACAGTAACCATGTATTTTATATAAGTCATCACGTTTATCATATAGCTTGGTTGTTAGATTACCATTAGTGTCTTTTTCAAGTAAAATGATCTTGCGTTTCGAATCAACTTTGAGACATAAATCTCGTGTGTAGGTAATCAGGGTATATTGCTGCATAAGTAAGGGAAGTTGGCGACTGAAGAGTTGTATCTGCGAAATTGAAAAGTAATTTGCACTTTTTTTTTTTTACACTTTTGAAGGAAAAATGTTGCATTTGCCAGAAAATTACGATTTCAATAGATGTAGAAGTCCAGGGACACTAGTGATAATAAAGCATTGTTATCGAAAGATTAGCAGTTTTAATTATAAAAAACTTGATTAGGCCAAAAAACACTAAGTGATTCTATGTACCAGTACTGTACATATAAATATTTCTTGTCAAAGATTTTATGTTTGCGCAAACACTAGTTACGATTTGCTTGTGAAAATTTTATTCTCGAGTATATATTTTTTTTATTTGATTATATACAACAATAGTCAGATTTCGTGAAACAATTTGTCTCGCATCTTAACTTTCAAAAAAAACAAGAAAAAAGGCGAAATGTTAAATAATGATATGATAAATGAATTTACGTAAAGGGAGTCCGAATTATCTTGTTTAAAGTCATTTTTTGCAAATTCTTTGGTCTTGACAATTGGAAATAAGTTTTCATGCACAACTTTAAGGTATTGTTTTATTATTTTTTTAATAAAGCGCCTTAAAAAATAGAGGTCCATATTTGCTTTGTTCACACCTTACAATTGTTTCATTAAACAGTAAGATTAATGCTCCTTAGCTTCACATTCCACTATTCATCGAAACAGTGTTAACATGTTCGTATGAACATTCAAGGTCTTTCAAAAATTAACATGACGAGTTTCATAAAATTAAGGACATTTTATGTATTTATTACAACATGCCCTAAAAATTGAATGATAATGTATATAAAATTTTTGAACACCTGGCCTTGTGACCATAAACACAAAAAATTCTCAGACAAAATATGTTCTCAAGATTTAAGAATTTCCTCTGCTGAGAATTTCTCAAAAATCGTAGACCATAAACAGACTTGAGAAAATTCTCACTTAAGAAATTTCTTAACTCGTTAAGACGCGCTTTGACGCGCGCGTTGCTGTTTCCAAGGATTCTTACCACTGGCTGTGGAACTCTTCAGATTTTTATGGTAAGAAAGTCATAACAACAATAAACAATAGTAATAAATAAATATTCGTCTGCTTATTTCTATATGTACAAGTAAAATGGCGAAAAGGTCGGCAAATTGGACAACGGATGAGGAAATTGTTTTGGTGGAAGAGGTTGGGAAGAGGGAAGATGTACTTTTTGGGAAAATGAAAGGGGACGGAACGGTGAAAATTGGAGAAATTAGGTCTAAGGGGTGGAAGGAAATTTGTGATGTGTTAAACGCGTAAGTTGTAAATGTTGAACATCTAAAAACAAAACATTTCATAAAATAATTCAAAGGCACACGAATCTATAAATCAAAAGGTTCTTGTTACATGCTCAATGCGACTTACGATAATGGAAAACCCCTGAATCTAATTTAAGATCAAGTGAATGATAATAAAAAGGATTTACTTCCCTTTGTTAAGCTGGGACCAATGGAATATTTATAATATGTCCCTACAATCGAAAAAAAAAAGAAATAGAAATTAGAAATCGGCCTTGAATTACAAGTTCATTTAGATACCTTCGATATTTGTGAAAAATCCTTATAAAGTTCTTCTAGGTTAGAATGTTTCAATCCAGTAATCCACCATGCTCAGCTTCTGGATTATGCAAACTCGCTTGTCCAAAATGGCTATATAAAGAGGGTTTTCAATTACCCATATGTCTTTTTCGTCTCCATTTGATGTATTCTTGTAGAATAACCATTTTCTCATTCACTTTTTAAAAAAGTATTTCTGAACAAGTCATGTAACATTCGTCCATATTTTTTTGAACCCCAACAAAAGTTATGTCGCACGTCATTCATGGGGGTTCAAAAGGGGTATCTATGAAATCGGGTTAAAAAAGTACATGTATCTGTAGTGGTTTTTGATTCATTCCTCTTTATTTTCCGGTGTTTATAGTATACTTATAACAAACATAAAAAATTGTTATAGTAATCAACTACATGTAACCACATACGGAAAATTTTCCCTAATCATTAAATTTAATTACATGATGTAATTTTTCTGTTACAGAAGATTCAGTTTGAAAAAAAGAGAAGAAGCAGAAATAAAAAAGAAGTACTACAACGTCAAGCAACGCAGTAATTTAATTTGTAAATCTTCTTACACTTAGCCCCCCCCCCCCCCCCCCCCCACTTTCAATTTGCTTCCGACGCCAATGACATATAAATGTATCATATAAATTCCTACATGTAATCAACAGGTTCGAATAGTCTAAGCGTTTTTCAAAAAAGGGGGAGGGGTGTTGGAGTAAAAAAAAATTAAACCTTATTTTTAAAAAAAAAAGGGGGGAGGGGTTGTTTCATGCAAGTATTAAAATTATTACGTTACACAGTCTAAATATCGAAAAACTATAAGTACAGTTAAATTAAAACAATATTGACCATCCCATTTTATATAGGCAAGGACAAACTTGATCAAATAAAGAGACCAAAAACTGGGGGAGGCAAACCCATAGCTTTGACCACAGCAGAGGATCTTTTTCTTCAGTCCATGGAGGGAAGACCTCAGATAGAGGGAATCGCATCCGGGATTGATACAGATGGCAAGAATTCAATATTATTCAATTTTAATTTTATTAATAATGATTTTAACAAATTAGATTAGAAGATTATATACTATATAATAATGATACATTTTACTCAATTTGTAAACGTATGGTATTTATTTTTAAAAATAGAAATATCAGGATTGGACAGCACAGTTGGCGATGGTCCTACATGTAGTGACAATACAATTCAAGAGGAAAACCAATGTAAATAATTTTATTAAGTATTTTCATTCGAAGTAAAAAATTATTTCTCTATATTTGGTTTTAAAAAATTAAAATTCTGCATAAAATTATCATTTTTTATTCATACAATTTAACAGTATCAAAGACAAACCAAGGTAATGCAGATGCACAAGAACCAAATATAAACAAATCAACATCTTCGACTGCTACATCTACGAATTACACGTATAGAAAATCAAGAAAAGGTAAAATATGTCATATTTAGCAATACACAGTATTACATTCTTGACCCTTGCAATTAATAAATACTAGTAATAATCAATAAATCAGATTACTGTTTCTCTTTACATATAAAGCTGATACACGCAACAATACACGCAACAGGGGGAAGTTAGCAGAGCTTGAAGAAGAAAATATGAAGTTGGATAACCAGAGGCTTCGGATGCAAATTAACCAACTAAATGAAAACAAAGAAATCCTGACACTCAAAAAGGAAATTTTAATGCTCAAGAAATCAAAACTGGAATTTGAAATCCAAGCTAACTATCCATTTTTTACCGAAGCACTTTCCGCAAATCAATGTACAGATATTTCTGAGTGTTAAAGACATTTATGAGATAGAATGTTCTTATCGTAGTTATAAATTTATGAATGACGGAAGGTTTGATACACTCACTTAAATCACATTTTATTTTGAGAATCTATCGAGGTAAGAAAATATTGTATAGGAATACACATATTTTGTAGATAAATGAATGTGTATTATACGAGTTGAAAGTAAGAAGGATAAAGCTGATCGAGCGTTATATCATTCGAGTTGTATGAAATGGTAATAAAATTTATGACATCTCTGACCACTAATTTTCATTTCTACCTAGATTCGACAAATGCATATTAATATTGCCTGTATATTTTCCCGTAAAGACTGCCGGATTGCATGGGTAAATTATGCTTCAATTGTATTCGTGTGATTAAATGAACAGAAATTGTGAATTGAATATAGCAAAATAACTCAAGAGAAAAACAAATCTGCAATTTCATCTCTCTTCCTACAACCATCGTTACTAGGCGGAATTCGATCTACATTCATGGCATGATTGATGCATTCCTGAAAATCATAATCTGCGCAATTACTGCTGATGAAAATATCCGATTTTTCTATCCCTATGTTGTGTAGTAAGACACAAGCAGTGATATAATCAACAGCTTGTTCGGGTGAACATCTCAGACCGTAATGAAGGCACTGAAACCGCTTCTTTAAAACACCATAGGTTTGTTCTATGAGAACACGGGTACGGCACAACGAGCTGTTGAAGTTTTCCTGGGCTCGGTTTGAAGGTACATTATAAGGAGTCATGAGGTAATGAGTGCAGGGGTATCCAGAATCTCCAAGTAAAAGTCCACTGTGTATTCCTAAAAAAACGTTAAATTTTTTAATCAATACTAATAATTGCCATACATGTCACACATACATGTACTTGCGCAGATCTATCACTGTATCGCCCTAAAAAATCCTGGAGCCGTGTATGTCATATAGTAATATGTTTTTGTGACTGTATATAGTTTTATTATTTCTGTTTACTTTATGAAAAAAGAAAGGAATTCATTTTAACAGTACATTTTATAGATGTTCACATTTCTAACTTTTTCTTACCTCTCTCGAATTGATGGCATAGCGCGGATGATCTCCATACCCTACTGTCGTGTGTTGACCCAGGCCATCTTGCACATAGTGATGTAATTCGAAAATTGGGGTCGCATACCATCTGCATGTATTATAATATATATTAAATATTTATATTATATACCTGGTTACTAGCAGTATTTCATACATAACTCAATACCAATTTGAAGCAAAAATATGCGATTTCAAGCACCTTTTTAACCTCTAAAAAACTTAATTGTTCATCATTTCAGAAACGGGTGTATTCAAGTTTGTTTCCCCAATATGAAATCTACATGCAATAATACCTGCACATTCAATGAATGGTACCCCTTTCTATTTACATAGTCCACCTCGTTTTCAGATGGCATCGTAATTTTGATAAAAGTGCCGTCCACGCATCCGAGTACTTGGGGGAAACCTAAACAAATAAAACATGAGACTACACACAGGACCATTTTTGAAAAAAAGTGTTTTTAAGATACATGTAGACGAAACCTTTTTTCAGGAAGACTTGAAAAATATATATTTAAATATTATATACTTTCAAGAGCTATCTCTATAACAACTTTAAACAGTAACTGTTTTAAACTTTTGAAATATTACTGATTGCAATTAAAAAAAAATATTCAGGGAAAAGGAAATTTACAGAATGTCGAAATCTTTTAATTCGTATGGGATGGGTGTACTTGTGTGTGAGGGTGTGTATGTGTGTAATAAGGTTAAGCTCGAAATTCTTGCAGTTCATTTTTTTTTTCATGTACAAATACTACATGAAAGGGGAGAGGGTTTTAATGAACAGTTTCTGTTTTTAAGGGGGCCGACTTTAGTTTCCATTGTGCAATATTTCGCGCATCATAGTAAAATGAAGCGTATTTACTGTTTTAATGCAACTTTTTTCTCTTAATTATTAAAATTAAACAAAAGTAAGAAATTATAGGTATAAAAATGCAATTACAATTTGATATTACTGATTTTTTTAACCGATTTTGCAATTGATAGGTGGGTTGACGTCGCAATAAAAATATTATTAAAGAAAAAGAAATAAACATACGCTCTTGAAATTTAATACACAGAAATTTTAGAATATTTTCTATATTTTTATTACGTTTTCATATGACTCCATTTTGTAGTACTCTATAAAAATAGTAAAATTTGGTAATTTTTTTTTTTTTGTATTCTGAGATGTCCCTTTGTTATATAGACCCTATTCACCAATGAAAAACTTTGGTGACGGGACCCTTTATACCAATAATTAAAAGGTAAATACGTAAGTATTTATCTTTTCTTTTTATATTTTGCATCATATATTATACCTGTTATTCTTTCTGCATTTTATATTCCATATATGCCTATTTGAAATTCATTATCAATTTAATTTTTGTGTTCAAGATTTTTTGACTATACATATTTTAATCTAGGTGGCGCTTTTGTATGTTGTCATTCATGACTTAAGCGACATTTACATGGGTAAGTTCAAGTTTTGATTTCATCTGTTTGTTATAGAAACAAATATTACAATGCAGAATATAAGAAACATATAATACCTGCAATTCGTCTAAAACCCTCCATTACTCTGTAGGCAACTTCTCCAACGGGAAAGGCGATGAATCTTAAGAAAACACGGATGATCAAAGAGGTTACAGCCCGAATTTCCCTCCCTGCAGCATTTCTTGAAATATTTAGACTGTCTCCTATAAGAAGATGTGTTGCCCCGGTGGCCAGAAATCGTAAGCAAAGTAAGATAGAGAGAATTGGCGAGAGTGCCATGTTCCGGTGTGTATTCCGTTCCAAATTTCCTCTAATTTCGTCATGAATGAAGAGAATTGATGCCCTTCGGAACCGGTACCTCTCAAATAATTCATTATCATCCAAGGCGAGGGGATCCATTCTGTCACGGAACACCCGAGGGGCTGGCAGTGCCCTGCGATAGCGTCTATAACGCCTTATTCGTCTGTGTACGGCTGCCATTTTGAGACTGAGAATTTACTTAAGTCTGCTATTAACCAAACTTAAGAATTTTCTTATTCTGAGAACAAATTTTGTCTGAGAATTTTTTATGGTCTGCAATCGTTCTCAATTTGAGAAAAAAATAAAATTCTGAGAAAAAAATTGAGTTGAGAACTTTTATTGTCTGAGAATTGTTTTATGGTCACAAGGCCTGGACATTATTTTACAAAAATCTTCTTCATCTTTCAAAACATAAATAAAATTATGGGAACTGTTGTTTTTAGATATATGCTTAAAATTTTAACTAAATGGGTAATGGAATTAAAGTGAAGGTATCTTCTTTATTAAAAATAATTTTAAGAAAGGAGCTTGATAGATTAATGATATATTGTAAGAGACTTAAAAGTTTATTTGAAAAAGATCAATATTTAGTTTACAAATATGGCCATTATTTGAATATATTTATTCGTTGATTTTTTTTTCTCAAAACTTTTAATCAAAATGAGGTATGCACATAGTAGTAACCAAGTCATTCAACAAATATTTGCAAATTTTATTCCTGCGCAATTCTCTATGAATTATATTCTTATATTAAGTTTATAAAACAGATCATAAATATTTTTCTGTGTTCTATAAAGGTCATAATTTACAACTTCTGGCAATTGTAGAAAGATGTATTCTTTGTTTATATAATTTCGCAATTCTATAATTCAAAATAGAATACATTATTTGACGGAAACCATTTCAAATATATTTCATTGTAAAGCATTTTTGTAAAGTAATTGAAGTTGGGCTAAAATATTAAATCCACTTTTGGAATATAAATCGATATTTTATGCTATAATATGGCGACGACAATTATTTAAGAAACATTATTTAAGCATATAAACGTCCATATATAACAATATTAATTCATTATTTTTCCTGAAATTACCTCAGTTATTGTGTTATATTTTTTTTCTAAAAACATATCAGTGTATATTGAGAATTTTTTTAAGCTAAAGACCTAATTAAATAGCAATTTAAATAAATGATCTTGTGTCCTAGAATTACATGCATCGTGTTAGCCTCACAATTAACAATAAATCCCTTGGCTTTAACACTCATCTCTGTCAAACCACTTTTTCTCTTACTTACTTCTCTTACTTACCACCTGCATACGGAGTTTATATATCTCAGTTGATTCCATACGCAAGGGCATGCTTTACTAATGAACAATTTCAAAAACGAGATAAGTTATTGACAAACAAGTTCTAAACTCTGGGATAAGACTGTACATTTACATTACACGTGTTTTCTGCATACAAAGTGAATGAAAATCTATGGCATTCAAAACACCATAACACGGACAGGGTGCCAAAATATTAAAGCATGCGTTTTAGTTTGACTTCACAATCGTTGAACGCTGAGGAAGTGCAACGTCATATAAGCGAAAATCAAAAATCACGCTAACATTGACCAGAAGCTGTTACGTTGGCTCTTCAATTAACTGTAGCTTATTTTAAATATAAATCGCATTTGCAGTGAAAGTAGAGAGCTAAAAAATGTAAATATAAGCAATGAATGATTATTCTTTGAAAGATATAGTCTCAAAACTGCAATCGTATGTGCAAACAAATTTTCATAACGAGCAAACGCGCGTTACTTGATTTGTTTGCACACACCTATGCAGTTATGAGGCTATATCTTTTAAAAAATAATCATTCATTGCTTAAATAAACCGAGGTCCCTTTTTGCAATAGATCCCTAGCTTCTCAATGGCCCTCAACCGGCAAATTGTGGCGTCTCCATATGTTTGAAAATATGTAAAAGAGACTTTAAGCAACCTAAAAACAAAGATGTCTTGACTCGATATATCTCAGTGAACTCGAAGTAAAATACACCAAACAGTCTTAACAAAAATTTAAGTTAATATTGAATTTATCGGAGTCCGCTTTATGGTTAATAATAATTCAAATAAGGACTAAAGGACAACCTAGAATGTGGAATTAATTACGTATAGAAGGAGCATGTATATGCTCTTACCAATAAACAACCAACAACATTTTAAAACAATTTGTGTACAATTTCCTTATATGAGCGAATTTGGTTTTGAATACAGTCTTGATGTGAACTGTGATGAGTTTATGGCAAAAAACTTTGATCAGAGAAACTCACAAGATAACTAGCATCACGTGAGTTATAAATTTCTTTTACCATCACTTGTGTATCTAATTTAATTTATCTTAAAGTGTCCTTAAAACGGTTCAATAATAACTTTTAAATCAGATCTATTCAGTACATGTTAGGTCTGAAATGTGACCGACAAGTGATAAATAATTGCATCAAAGTCGTGTATGGGAAACCACTCCTCGTGAAGGTCAGCAGGAGTAGTGGCACTTCTATCAGAGTTCTGAATGTTAATGATCTGTTCTATTCCAGTTCTCCACTCACATTGGTGGTAAGTTGACATTCATTGTGTCTTCACCAAGAAGTGCTTCGCCGCAAGTATCACCATGACATTGACAAACATACAGATGTTGTTTTGCAAAGCAAAATGCATATCAAACACTTCCAATATTACATTAAATTGAAGGAATCTGTCTGTCAAAAACCAAAAAAAAGTAATGGACTAATATCAATCAATTCTCAAATTAACTTCTAGCAGGCGCGTTTTTGATGAGTTAATTTTGGATTTTGCATAGAAAAAAATGCAGATTGAATGCAACTATATATAAAACACATCACTTTTAATTTAAAAAAGTCAATTCCTGTAAGCTTTAAATCAAAATTTAAAAATACATTGCATTTCTGAGATTTAGTTTTTGCAAATATGTTAATAATGGTAATCTAACAACCAAGTTATATGATAAACGTGATGACTTCAACTTTTCTATTGTAAACTTCCCTTACTTATGCAGCAATATACCTTCATCACCTGCATACGGTGTGTATATATATCTCAGTTGATTCGATACGCAAGAGCATGCTCTACGTTTGAACAATTTCTAAAACGAGGTAAATTATTGACAAGCAAGTTGATGACACAAAAATATCAACAGTCTAATTTAAAGTCATCATTTCGTAAATTCTATGGTCGATACAATGTCCTTGTCAGCAAATACAACTTATCATTGAGACAAAATGCTGACTGACGTTTTTCATACGTATTGTTAGTCCATTTTTCATACACTGAATTGACGGCGGATTTTTCCGTTATTTCCCGATCATGACAAGAAGCACACGGCGGGTGTGACCGGTCAGCAGGGAATGCTCACTCCTCCATGGCACCTGATCCCATCTCTGATGTTTTAGAGGTGCATATTTGCTCTGCTCCTGTTTTGTATTGTTTTATGGATATTTGATATTGAATACTGTTCATTATCTCCATATCCTTCTTTTAAGAATATTGGGACAGAGAGATAAATTATAATTTTTTATACCCTACATGTGTATACTGAAAAGTTATTTACTCAATGACGTGCATTTTTACAAGGAGACAGAAGATTCAGTGGCCAAATTCATTATAATAACAAAGACTTTATAATGAGAATAAAACAAGTCACCAAAAATACAACTAAGTGCTTAGATGTATTTGCTAATGCGGTTATTATGATGACAAAAAAACTACGAAATGTTGACATTAAACGAGGTTGTTGAAGTTTCTACAAAATAAACTTTTGCGTGAGTAGCCTTCATTTATTTAAAAATTTGATCGTACAGTGTACTAATAGCATGTTCTTGAATAGCAGTTGGGAGACATAAAATATATGCAGGTGATAGCCAAATACAATTTTTATAAAAATTGGGAACATTGACGAAGAAAAAGCTAAAGTCATCTCGTTTGCCATATAATCTAATTGCTAGTAAGCATTTGTCTTCTTGATATAGTCTACTTTACTGGAAAGGATAGAAAGGTGTTTCTAAAATGACTTTTGACTTTCTGACACGATTTTTTAAATATATGTTTCTAAGTCATTTAATCGATTTTTACAGTGTTAATGTCCTCTAAATACCTTTATACAATTCTAAGACTTAATATTTTTCTTAATATCTTTTATATTAATAATACAAACAATATATCATTAAAACATCAAATTTTACATAAATGAAAAAGTCAAGGAAATCATGGCATTATAATGTTTAATTGTGACATAAAGAATGTATTTCGAAATTGATATAACTTATAATCAACATATTGCTGAATTGCAAAGGTTTATTTCAATGCATATTACCAAACTTCATTCAAAATTGATGAAGGAAACTATTTGTTCTTAAAAAGAAGCGTTCTTTGATAATTATTAGATAACAGAAGAGCATAGAAAAAAAACAATCCAAGAGACTAGAAGACGATGAGAAAACGCTTGATAAAGTGGAGATTCGAGGTGGTTTATCGAACTTATAAGATAAATTTCAGATGATTGATTCTGGAAATGCAAGCATTTATTGTGTATTTGTAAACCTGAAACATGATATGAAGTAATCAAAGTACAATTCTCATGAGGCAATTGCTCCTACATTCGCTAAATCTCAATCTTTTGGACTTTTTGTGGGGGTTCCTTAAAACAAGGACTGTAATCTTAGATCAAAAAACTGGGTGAGCCTTAAATCTTCAATAAAAGATGCATATGGGAAAATTAAAATTTCAAAAAGAGAATTTCTCTTATAGATGTTGTAGAAAGGAGGTCATTTAGAAACCGCCAGAAAAGCTTGTAAAACTCAATGTAACAAAATATGAGCGTCTACATACATCTGAATGAAAAATTCTCCAGAACGGCGTTAAACAACAATTAAAACAAACATAAATGTAGAAAGACCGCTAATTATAATCATTGTCGTTAGAGATTTTGCCAAGTGCTTCACAATTTGTTTCTTGTATTTACTCCAAATATGAAATTTTCTTGCCACCATTTAAAAGTTTTTAATGATTGGGGAAGGCAAGGAAAAAGATACAGTAAAGTGTTGTTGTTGGTTTTTTTTTTTAAGAAAATAGGATAAGTAAATTTTAAGGTCTTTAAACTATATCTAATATACTTCAAGGC